GTAATGTTCTCCATTCATAATACCATGAAGAGATTGAATACTTCCAATTAAAGGCTTCTTGTAAACATTTAAACAGTAATTCTACACCATTGTCTATGGGTAAATCTGCACCATGTGAAATTCTGGTTTTTACAAGTCCTGGAGCACTACCTAATATTATATGAAGGAGTGATTTTATTCTATTCCATACTTCCAGAAATTTATTCTCATCATCTCTCATACAATGAAGAGTATCTCGCAAGTGTAATAACAAGAAATCAATATTGTAATTACGCTTTCCATCCTTATGGATGTTACTGTCATTTGAATGTGGATTAAAATCTTCATATTTTGATTTAAAAACTTTATTAAAACCTTCTTCATTAACTTCAGTTGATCGAAAATGTATCTCAGCAAATTTTCCTAACTTAGTATAAATTTTTTCTCTCAAATCATGTCGAATCCGAATTTCATTTTTGCAAATTACTTCTATGAGAGAAACTAAGGTGCGAAGATGCGATTCTAGTTTAGAGATAGCTTCAATGCTATAATATTTAAATGCAGATGAGTCAGCTAACAATTCAATAGACTCAACTAACATTTCATCTGATATTTTGTTATCTTTAATGATTTTTTTCAACGAATAAATATCATGAGTACTTGTCCATTTTTTAAATTTTTTAATAAGATCACAAGGTTGGAATTCCGATTCAGAGGCAACCTATTGGTATAAAAGATAAGATATTCATTATTTAGGTTAATGTGTTGCTAAAATTTCGGGCTTAATTAGCGACATATAACCTTAATTGAAAGCAAGGTATGAATAGTTTGCAGGTTTCGATGAAACATATCACCTTTTAAGAATATTATTAGTAATATGATGTTGATATAAACTCCAAAGATATAATATCTAGTTTAATGAATAACTTTTACTAAAAATTATGTTAGGCCATAAAAAATAATTTTTTTGGTTTTCATAGCATGAAGTTTTTTAAAAATGACCCGGCAACTCGGCTTATAATTTTATTTCCAAAAAAAAATTTATGTATAAAAAATATATCTAATGTTTTTCGGATTTCAAAAAAATTTTTTGAGGTTTTGCAAAATTTGACCAGGCCGGCTTATGAGAAACAATTTATTAAATTTGTATGGCCTTATCTAAATTTCAGAAAACTAATCACACATTCTTTCAATTATTAATTTGTTATTATACATCGCTGACCAGGTAAAATAATCATAATTACCTCAAAATTAAATTGTTCATCTTATTAAAAAGGTTCCTAAAAATCTATACTGAAGTTAAAATAATTAAAATAGGAATTATTAATATACAAACTTCTCAAGGTACGTACGTACGTACGTATGTTGTGCATACTTTATGAAAGGGAGTACATCGGTTTCGTGTATTCGTGTAACTTCACGTACACCAATTTTTTTTAGCCAAAAAATGTACGTGATGTTACACGAACCGATGTACGCAAATTTAGAAATAGTGCGTATAGTGTTTCAAGCCGGCTAGAGCAGCCGTAGCTAAGGCAGCTTAGCCGGCTAAGCTAGCTGATAAAAATGTATCAG